GCAGCAGATGGCCCCGCCCCTCCCTGAGCCTGGTTCTGTCGGAGGTTTCTTCCTGTTAAAAGGGAGTTTTCCCTTCCCACTGTCGCCAAAGTGCTTGCTCATAGGGGGGTCACTTGATTGTTGGGTTTTTCTCTGTATGTATTATTGTAGGGTCTACCTTACAATATAAAGCACCTTGAGATGACTGTTGTTGTGATTTGGCGCTGTATAACTAAAGTTGAATTGAATTGAATTGAATTAAACATCCATTACCAATGCTACCTTTTTGACAGAAGGCCAGCGTTCTCTCGCAAAAGTAAGAAATAACGTACTGCCTTACTAATAATTCGTTTTTGAGTAATGACCCCAAAATTGATCACAGCAGAGGGGAAATACCTCCAACATGCAGAAACATTTGACCACAGCATGTAATTAATTTGCACAAATGTAATGTCTTTGATAGGCTGCTTAGTGATAGTGATGGCTTTCGAAGCAGAACCAGTGAGAACCCAACGAGAATCGAGAAGGAATCGAATCAAAAAGTGATATCAATAATGGAATTGGAAATGCTAAATTGTTGTCAATTTCCATCCCTAGTAATGAAATAATCAGCTTCTGTGGTAGCAGAGTTCAGGTAGCTGCTCTGTACTGTTTTAGCACATGGCAGTGAAGAGAGTGAAAGTAAAGGAATTATATCTTTAAATTTAGTCACAGCATTTTCAGAAAGACATTTACTGTAATGATATTGTATTCCCACTGCTGTGTACATGCGTGTACATACACAGGAACATGAGGCTGTGAACTAACTGAGGTTAACAGATGATCTGGCGAAGACTCACTGTGTGCGCTGCTCCTAAATACTGCCAGAATAATTGCCTGCAGCTGAGGAACGGGACGGGCTCCACCCAGAGGAGGAGAGCTGATGCTGTGGAAAGTTACTCAGGCTCGCCTAGACCATGACACCATATAATTTTCTGGATAAAATAAATAGTAAACAGCCCATAATGAAACTCTCACCTAAATATTTGAAAATAAAGGCACATATAAAAATATCTTCATTATCTTGCAATGTTTTTTTTGTAAACAGTTGATAGCACAACATTAAGACATACATTAAATGAGCAAAGAAAAAAATGTCACAAACAGAGTCACTCTCTTGACCTAACTGTATTTGTCTGATCAGGAGACAAAGTGAAATAAAAAGCAGCATTTACGTACGTTTGCACCACCACAAATGATCATCTATGATTTTCTTTTCCTCGTAAAGAGTGCAGGTAGACTGCTAACGTAGCAGCAGGCTTTCAACCATCAAAACTCAAAACACCATTAGGCAGAACAGAGACATGTTTTTGCAACAAAGCTGCTTGATTACGCCTCTTGCACTTTCCATTTCATGTAATGGAACGATTACTTTCACCATACCCTGCTTGTTTATCTGCCCACAAACCTGAAAATGACAATAATGGGAGTAATTGTGCACACTCACCTATTACTGCCTAAAGGCGAACCGATGGAACACACAGCTTCGAGAGAGTCAAAGAGGTATGACTGGGTAAATTTAGGTTTTTTTTCGATTTTGGAAGGCTAACACATAATTATTTGTTTGAAGCTGCCGTGTAAGACATCCAA